TGTCGATCTCCAGAGTGGCGAAGTCGCTGCAAACCGGCGCGGCGGCATCATCAGCAGCCTTCAGACGCTCCTTGAACTCCAAGTACTCGGACGGGCTCAGCTGCTCCACCGTCAGCTCGAACACATTCACACGAATGTACTGCCACTCGGCCACGCGCGGACGCACCGCCAGCGCGATGTAAGGAGGGATGACCACAGCCTCCTGAGTGGCACGCAACAGATTGCCGAAAGCGCTCTCCTTGATCTTCGTGCCGGCGAAGCACTCCAGCTCAGCAACGCGCTCCAGCTCATTCTTCAGCTCGTGCGGCTGAAGCATGTGCTTCCCGTTCGCCACGTAGCGGGACAGGAGCAGGATGATCTGGTTGCGGTACTCGGAGAGGGAGCCCTTCACCCGATCCGTCATGCTGTGCATGCGTGTAACCTCGGGGAGTTTCTCCGGCCGAGGGACCAGGTCGGCAGCCAAAGACCCCGCCATCGCTCAACCTTACAGCGCTGCTGTTCTGCTCACCTCCTTCCTCGGACTCACTCCTGACCCCTCCGCCCGACTTCTCCAACAGCCTCACACCAGTATCGTCCTTTCTCCCTCCCTCGCTATGGCACAAGCCCCGCTCAGACGGGAGCCTACGCCCTACACAAGCGCAGCGCCCCGCCTGTTTACACAACTACGGGCACACATACACATACAGTTCCTGCCCCTCCGCTCTCGTCTCGCCGGCCCTCACAAGCACGCTGAAGGCGAGAGTTCGATGCTACATTCTGTAGGCACGTCCGTGTTCTTAAACCTGGCGAACCAACCACCCTTTGGGCCTCCGAAGGCCAGCGACTGAAAAAAGGCGGGCAACCAATGGACCTACCAGGTAGCTCACGCTCGGCTGTAATTCAAGTAATTGTACTGGGATACATTCAGGAAGTGCTATAGTATGACTGTATGCCCTCAGTTCGTACACCTTGTTGAAGTACAAGACCCACGTTCGAATCCAGATGCAGCCAGATGAACACAATAATATCCAAAATAATAATAATATCATTAACATGATTCTGGGGCCAGTCAGCGCAATGTGATAGGAAACGCCAACATGTCCCACTGTCGGATTCAGATACATTCATAATGTTGGCGTTTCGCATGTGGTGCGGCGAGCCTCGAGCGGGCGTTCGGACCTTGGCAGGATGCACGATTCCCATTGTTTTTTTTTTTGTTTTTTTTTTGTGACACAACATTGCTCCTTGTCTATATGTCGGGGGCTACACGTGCCGGGAACGGGGCCCACAGTCCCTTATAGATAGTGAGAGGCCGGGGTCCTYCTTTTTTTTTTTTTTTCCTTGGAGCATACACCACTAGCACTCTCGGGGAGGCCCCATCTATTGGTGGGGAGCGACACCTGCTGGAAAGCGGGTCCATTCGGCTAGCATGCTTTTTGTTCTAGACAGTAAGCTTGGCAAAGGTCTTATGAAGTVGGGGATGGGCAGCCTTCTGGACGGTAGTGTCGAAAGGCAGCACTCTCCCACACGCCCACTCACAGCCAGTGCCGTCACCGCGAACGTTACTAGCACCGGTCACTTGAACATGACCGGCCGGTCATTTGGCCCTGCGCCTGTGACGGCCACACCATCAAAGAGTGGTGTTTTTTTTTTT